CTTTAGGTGGCACACCCATGGGTGCAGTGTAACTCAGTGTTTTATTTAGTTGAAAGTAACTAACATAGGCTGCACTTTAGGTTGCACACCCATAGGTGCAGTGTAATCCAGTGTTTTATTTAGTTGAAGGTATCTAACACTGGCCGCACTTTACGTAGCACACCCATGGGTGCAGTGTAACCCAGCGTTTTATTTAGTTGAAGGTAACTAACATAAGCTGCACTTTAGGTAGCACACCCATGGGTGCAGTGTAACCCAGTGTTGCTCATGAGTGACTGTAACCCAGTTGTTTCTAGAGAGTGCTGCCCTTTAAGTAGTATAAAGACATTTGGACATTCTCTTTATGACAATGAAATTGTTGTGAGGAAACATTTCCTCAAGTAGCATGGTAGCACATTGTTATGTAATTAATGCATTTTTCCAAATGTTTAGTACTTTTCAGAAGATTTTTTTGACTTGATTGCATCTTGATTATTTCTTTACCGCTACTCCTCCTGCATTATATTTATTTAGGTGAGCAATTTTTAAGACAGAAAATGTCCTTCTTTTAATAACTTGGTGGAATAAAATTACAATTTACACATAGATCTTACCACGATACTTTTTGGTAGGAAATATTAAGTTTTTTACCAGCACAGTTAAGCCTAATTTAGTTTACCCGCCTGATCGATAAAAGGACAAAATTGGTCCGATTTTGAGACGACATTACAGCTTTTTGGCAACGACTGCCGAGAAACCGAATGTGCCATGGAATTACACCCAATTAGGAAAGATATTTACTCCCTTCCAGCAGTCATTACAAAGCCGTTTTGTCCTCTCAAAATTGGATGTAGTTCACACATTAAAGGCGATAAATTGATAAAAAAAAAAGATTTACAATTATCCCGTTGTCAAGAGGCTCTCATTCACGTATTACTAAGCTGGGTAATAAACTTTTTCTCGTGGCAGAATCATAGGAGAGAAATTGTTATTCATTTTAATACGGACTTACATGGTACTCCGTAACAAAATCGCTGACATTGTAATAACTAAACTTTGAATGTAACTATTGTTGGATTATTCATTACTTGACGGGGGAATTCCGCATTAAGGTTACTTCCACCTTCAGAGGCCGAAAAAATTGTTTTTTTCTTTTATTGGACTAGATTGAAGTTGGACATTTTACCTAACGTTTACAAAAAGAAAAATTAAAATTTCCCAAAAAGCGTCCGACTTATTTAGAAAACGTATTTTCAAGTCAAAGTTAATGAATCGGAAAGGTTTCATAATCTAATGTGCGAACGCCTAGGGGAATATTCGCGGCATTTCATGTTATTTGCATATTTTGTATATATTGCGCACTTGACAAAATTCACACGTGGAAGTTCTCTGCTAAAGGCAGTCTTTTCTCATGGATAAAAAAAATAAATCAAAATTATTTTCTCATGGATAAAAAACATAAATCAAAATTATTTTCTCATGGATAAAAAACATAAATCAAAATTATTTTCTCATGGATAAAAAACATAAATCAAAATTAAAGAGGAGTCCTTGAGTAAAACAAGCTTTTGGAAAAATGAGAGCTTGTGTGACGAGATGTTGTACAACATTATTTCCTTTTATATCGTTGTGAAGGTACCTTTAGAATGCACGTGGTCTAAAGCTCTACGTATCTTTTGAAATATAGAAATACAGTTTGCTTTAGTAACTACGTTGTTATCAGCCGCTTGATGGAGAGTTAACACTTTCTTGCTGAACACCATGAGTCACAAGGCATAATGGTGAGGCCTTTTGTAACAAAAACAAAAATCATGGGTAGATTTGGATGGTCCCCAAAGCAGAAGCAACCTTTGTTTCGTAGAGTAAATCTCTCCTTGCTCGTTTTTTATCCTCTGACGTTTCATTGTGAGTCATTTGCTTGACAATAACCTCGATGCTTCGATAGCGGCCGAGAAAACACTGTCCAAAGCTTCCACTGCTAACTGGAAATTTAGAAAAGTGTTCAATGTTCTCTGGCCTAAGTTCTTAGGGTTCAACTTTGGATCCATTACTCGCTGTGATTTTTTCGCAATTAAAAAGGTTTGATGACGTTTGTCGCGAGGTTTCTGCGAGACAATTGCGTCGGCACCAACAGCCATTTGAATCATCTTTAAGATAGCAGCTCTTAAGCAACCACCCAAGTCCGCTTTATTCCCTCTACTGCCTGGTTTAAGCGCGAGGAATCGGGATTTCTCGACATTCTCTGGCTCACGATATTGGTGGAAGGACGTGGCTTCTTTTCCTTGGCCTCAGAAGTACATGGCACCAAGTCATTTGCTTCGCGATTGAATGATTTTAGTTCAACATTTTTATTCGTTGAATTCGACATTTGCTTCCCTTGTTTCCTCTTTCTCCATTCTTTTCTCTGTGTGTTTCTTTCTTCTGGAGTGTTTTTTCATATTTTGATAACTCGCTCTTTTGGTTTTTCTTTACCTTCAAAATCCTTCACAACTTCCGACATAATTATGTAGCTAACTGATCT